AAACTTTTTTAAGGACTGTAGAAGTTCCCTTATTCTCTTTGTATCGGTAGTAGCCTTTTCTAGGGCAAAAAAACTTGTAAAAAATGTGCTTTTTTAAAAAAAGTTTTTATTTTGACTTTTCCAGGGGGGCGTGGGGGGAGCGTTCTCAGTGAAAACCCCCCAGCGGGGTCGTGACCCTACGGGCCAACCAATCCCGGGCACGGGTGGGGCGGAGGGCGGGCGGTGGACCCTGGGGTAAAGCTCTAAACCCCCCGGGGTCAGCGCACTGCTAAGGGACTCTATTTTCCCGTTTTGTCGACCAAGGCTGTAGGTGAGAGGCCTGAGGGGTTGCTGGGGCATCGCTAAGGTAGCTCTATTCCTGTTTTGTCCGACCAAGGACTAGTAGGTTAGAGAGGCCTGAATGTTGCTGGGGGCACCGCTAAGGTAGCTCTATTTCCTGTTTTGTCCGACCAAGGACTAGTAGGTTAGAGAGGCCGAATGTTGCTGGGCATCGCTAAGGTACCCCTATTTCCCCGTTTTGTCCGACCAAGGGCAGTAGGTTAAGAGGCCTGAGTGTTGCTGGGGCATCGCTAGGTAGCTCTATTTCCTGTTTTGTCCGACCAAGGACTAGTAGTTAGAGAGGCCTGATGTTCTGGGGGCTCGCTTTAAAGGGAGCTCTATTTCCTGTTTTTGGGCCGACCAAGGACTAGTAGGTTAGAGAGGCCTGATGTGTTGCTGGGGGCACTGCTAAGGTGCTCTATTTCCTGTTTTGTCCGACCAAGGCTAGTAGGGTTTGAGAGCCTGATGTTTGCTGGGGGCACCGCTAAAGGGAGCTCTATTTCCTGTTTTGGGCCGACCCAAAGGGCTAGTAGGTTAGAGAGGCCTGATGTTGCTGGGGGCAAACCGCTAAGGGGAGCTCTATTCCTGTTTGTCCGACCAAGGACTAGTAGGTTTTGAGAGGCCTGAGTGTTTGCTGGGGGCACCGCTAAGGTAGCTCTATTTTCCTGTTTTGTCCGCCAAGGACTGATAGGTTAGAGAGGCCTGAGGTTGCTGGGGGGACCGCTAAGGTAGCTCTATTTCCTGTTTGGGCCGACCCAAGGACTAGTAGGTTAGAGAGCCTGAGTGTTGCTGGGGGGATCGCTAAGTAGCTCTTTTCCTGTTTTGTCCGAACCCAAAGGGCTATAGGTTAGAGAGGCCTGAAGTTGCTGGGGCATCGCTAAGGTACTCTATTTCCTGTTTTGTCCGACCAAGGACTAGTAGGGTTTGAGGGGGCCTGATGTGTTGCTGGGGCACTGCTAAGGTAGCTCTATTTTCCTTTTTGTTCCGACCAGGACTAGTAGGTTAGAGAGGCCTGAGTGTTGCTGGGGGCAACCGCTAAGGTAGCTCTATTTCCTGTTGGTCCGACCAGGACTAGTAGGTTAGAGAGGCCTGAGTGTTGCTGGGGGCACCGCTAAGGTAGCTCTATTTCCTGTTTTGTCCGACCAAGGACTAGTAGGTTAGAGAGGCCTGAGTGTTGCTGGGGGCACCGCTAAGGTAGCTCTATTTCCTGTTTTGTCCGACCAAGACTAGTAGGTTAGAGAGGCCTGAGTGTTGCTGGGGGCACCGCTAAGGTAGCTCTATTTCCTGTTTTGTCCGACCAAGGACTAGTAGGTTAGAGAGGCCTGAGTGTTGCTGGGGGCATCGCTAAGGTAGCTCTATTTCCTGTTTTGTCCGACCAAGGACTAGTAGGTTAGAGAGGCCTGAGTGTTGCTGGGGGCACCGCTAAGGTAGCTCTATTTCCTGTTTTGTCCGACCAAGGACTAGTAGGTTAGAGAGGCCTGAGTGTTGCTGGGGGCTGCTGACCTTGTGTCAATGTGTTTATCTGGGGGGTGTTGGGAAAGACATAAGATTCATTTCCGTTCTACTCAGTGGACAAAAAAGTTGTATTCTATTTTCCTTGATGTTTCATCCTCTCGGATTGCTTTGTACTTTGAAATTGTCTTTAACTGTTTGATTGTCCTACCCAAAATGTATATCTATCAATCAATCAATCCAGGTGGTCCTGACGGTGGAACGGGTGAATGAGTTTGCTCCGGTGCTGTCTGCGGTGGCCCTGATGCCGTCGTGGTTGGACCAAGACCCGGTGTTCGCTGTGGTCACAGTGGAGGACCAGGATCAGGGGGTTTGCGGGGACATTGAGTGGGTCTCCATCGTCGAGGGGGACCCACAGGAACAGTTTAAGGTGGACCGTTCGCCGGTCGGGAACGAGTACAAGGTAATACTCTCTCTCTCCTCTCCTCTCCTCTCCTCGCCTCGTCCTCTCCTCTCCTCTCCTCTCCCTCCTCCTCTCCTCTCCTCTCCTCTCCTCTCCTCTCCTCTCCTCTCCTCTCCTCTCCTCTCCTCTCCTCTCCTCTCCTCTCCTCTCCTCTCCTCCTCCTCTCCTCTCCCCATCCTCTCTTCTCCCTCTCCCCATCCTCTCCCTCCTCTCCTCTCCTCTCCTCTCCCTCCTCCCCTCCTCCCTCTCCTCTCCTCTCCTCTCCTCTCCCTCTCCTCTCCTCTCCTCTCCTCTCCTCCTCCTCTCCTCTCCTCTCCTCTCCCTCCTCCGCTCTCCTCTCCCCACCCTCTCCTCTCCCCACCCTCGTCCTCTCCCCCTCTCCTCTCCTCTCCTCCCTCTCCTCTTCCTCGCCTCTCCACCTCTCCTCCTCCTCGCCTCTCCTTCCTCTCCTCTCCCTCTCCTCTCCTCTCCTCTCCTCCCTTTCTTTTTTCTCTTCTAATCTCCTCTTCTCCTCCAATCTCTAGGTGAAGACGTCAGAGCCCGTGGACTGGAATAAGTTTCCATACGGTTGTAACCTGACCCTCCAGGCTAAAGACAGAGGAAACCCTCCTCTGTTCTCCAACACTCAGGTGGTCCAGGTGCTAGTTAGAAAACGTCAGCCTGTTCAGGTGAGTCATTTCCGTTCTTCATTTGAATTTAATTTTCATTGTTTTATTTTTTTCCCTCTTTCCTCTTTCTGCTGTTCAGTGTCTTTGTTTTCTTTTAAATCAAAAATGTTTTGTGTCTGAGTTTTTAGGTTTTTGTTCTAGTGAACAAACACCGTCACAATACCATAACAACACCGTCACAATACCATAACAACACCGTCACAATACCATAACAACACCGTCACAATACCATAACAACACAGTCACAATAGCATAACAACACCATAACAACACTGTCACAATACCATAACAACACCGTCACAATACCATAACAACACGTTACAATATCATAACAACACCGTCACAATACCATAACAACACTGTCACAATACCATAACAACACCGTCACAATACCATAACAACACCGTCACAATACCATAACAACACCGTCACAATACCATAACAACACAGTCACAATACCATAACAACACCATAACAACACAGTCACAATACCATAACAACACCATAACAAAACTGTCACAATACCATAACAACACAATAACAACACCGTCACAATACCATAACAACACCGTCACAATACCATAACAACACCGTCACAATACCATAACAACACCGTCACAATCCATAACAACACCGTCACAATACCATAACAACACAGTCACAATACCATAACAACACCATAACACACAGTCACAAAACCATAACAACACCATAACAACACTGTCACAATACCATAACAACACCGTCACAATACCATAACAACACCGTCACAATACCATAACAACACTGTCACAATACCATAACAACACCATAACAACACTGTCACAATACCATAACAACACTGTCACAATACCATAACAACACCGTCACAATACCATAACAACACTGTCACAATACCATAACAACACCATAACAACACTGTCACAATACCATAACAACACCGTCACAATACCATAACAACACCGTCACAATACCATAACAACACCGTCACAATACCATAACAACACGTTACAATACCATAACATGGTCCACATACAACAGTACAATAAACAACACCCGTACAACCATACACCCAGTCACAACTAACACACCGTCACAATACCATAACACACGTCACAATACCATAACAACACCGTCACAATACCATAACAACAACCGTCACAATACCATAAAACACAACAACACGTCACAATACCAGAACAACACCGTCACAATACCAATAAAAACACACATCCATAACAACACTGTCACAATACCTAACAACCATACAACACCGTCACAATACCATAACACACCAGTCACAATACCATAACAACACCATTCACAATACCATAACAACACTTACACATACCATACACCCGTCACAATACCATAACAACACCACAATACCATAAAACACCGTCACAATACCATAACAACACCATAACAACACTGTCACAATACCATAACACTGTCACAATACCATACAACACCGTCACAATACCATAAACACCATAACGATACCATAACAACCTGCACAATACCAAACACACCATAACAACGCTGTCACATACCATAACAACACCGTCACAATACCATGCACAATACCATAACAACACTTGTCAACAATACCATAACAACCCTGTCACAATACCAGACCCACACATAACAACGCTGTCCAGAATACCATAACAACACCGTCACAAGATCCATAACAACACCGTTCACCAATACATGAACAACACCGTCAATCATACCATAACAACACCAGTCAAAATACCATAACAACACCGTCGACAAATACCCTAACACTGGCACAATACCATAACAACAACTGGCACAATACCATAACAAACGACTGTTACAATACCATAACACTGTCACAATACCATAACAACCACCGTTCAGAATACCCATAACACCATAACAACACAGTCACAATACCATAACCACACTGGTCCACCATACCATAAACAACAATGTAAATCAAACATCTGTCACAATACCATAACCAACACCGTCACAATAACCAATAACAACACGTTACAATACCCCATAACACTGTCACAATAACCATAACAATGTCACAATCCCATGAACAACCATGTCACCAATACCATAACCCCATAACAACAACACCGTCACCAATACCATAACAACACTGTCACAATACCATAACAACACTGTCACAATACCATAACAACACCATAACAACACTGTCACAATACCATAACAACACCATAACAACACCGTCACAATACCATAACAACACCATAACAACAAAGACATTTTAATTACATGATGCTCCTCTTTTATGTAAGTAGATCAACTCTAATTTTTTTTACTTTGGTATAAAAGCATGAAAATTGGCACACGTTTTAACTTGTTTTTCCAGATGCGGTTTGATAAACAGCTCTACAAGGTGAGACTGAGTGAGATAGCGCCACCTGGCACCATCATAGTGGAAGTGCGGATCACTCCAGACCCTCCCAACGTCAACTACAGTTTCACACCCTTCTCTGCCTCACCGTACTTCCTCATCAACCCTCTGACCGGGGTCATCACTACGGCAACCCCTCTGACCAGCCTATCACAGGACACCGTGGAGCTGGAGGTAGTGGAGGAGGCCAGTAAACTCAGAACCAGGGTCCAGGTGAATTTTGATTTGTTTGCTTTGATCTGATTTGTAATACGTTGTTGATTGTGTCTGTGTTGACAATCTGATCTGATCTTCTGTTCTCTTGTCTCGTCTCATCTCATCTTATCTTTAACTCAGGTCACCATAGAGGACGCTAACGACAACACGCCCAAGTTCACTAGGCCGGCGTACGACGTGTCAATCGAAGAGACCATGCCGGTCGGCACGGTGATCTTGGTGGTGTCGGCGGTGGACGATGACAAAGGGGAGAACGGGTGCATCACCCACAGCATCACCCACAGCATCGCTGGACTTCAGGCGCTACCCTTCACCATAGATCAGGACTCAGGAGAGGTACTTGCTACTTTTAGTGTTGACTGTTGGGTTGTTGTTCCTGACTGTGTGTATACAGTACATGCTGCAATGATGACAAACCAATTATTATATCTTATTTGATCTGATCTCTTTCAACTCTCCTCTTCCATCCTCTCATCTCCTCCTCCTCTCCTCTCATCTCCTCTCCTCTCCTCTCCTCTCCTCTCCTCTCCTCTCCTCTCCCTCCTCATCCTCTCCTCTCCTCTCCTCTCCTCTCCTCTCCTCTCCTCTCCTCTCCTCTCCTCTCCTCTCCTCTCCTCTCCTCTCCTCTCCTCTCCTCTCCTCTCCCTCTCCTCTCCTCTCCTCTTCTCCCAGCTGAGGACGACTAGAGAGCTGGACTACGAGACGTCAGCTGATCTCTACATGTTCTCCGTCCGGGCCTCAGACTGGGGTTCTCCCTACCGCCGCGAGAACGAGGTCAACGTGACAGTGCGCCTCATCAACGTAAATGACAACAGACCGCTGTTTGAGAGGGTTGGCTGCCGAGGGATGATTGGACGGGACTTCCCCGTGGGCCAGAACATTGTCACCATGTCAGCTGTGGGTAGGTAGCCCAGCGGTCAAACTCCAGTCCTCTGTGGGTTTTCTCTCCTCCCTTGTACATGAATGATCATTGATCATTGATCAATACCCACGTTTCCATCCACAGTTTTTTATGCGAGTAAAGTCATACTGTATAAAAGAAAATCACGACAGCTGTGATGGAAACAGGAAGTGTTGGTAAAATGTCCTTAATGTCGACAGACAATTTGTTCATTCGACATTCGATCTTTTTGTATCAGTAAAATACATTATTCGAGAAATGGCGGAGGAAATGCCTTTATATTGATATAATATCAATATTGAACTAAACTTGGAGTGACACGATGATACAGCTCTGGAAAAAAATAAGAGACCACTGCAAAATTATCAGTTTCTCTGGTTTTACTATTTATAGGTATGTGTTTGGGTAAAAATATTTTTTTTGTTTTATTCTATAAACTACTGACAACATTTCTCCCAAATTCCAAATAAAAATATTGTCATTTAGAGCATTTATTTGCAGAAAATGACAACTGGTCTAAAATAACAAAAAAGATGCAGTGTTGTCAGACCTCGAATAATGCAAAGAAAATAAGTTCCTGTTAATTTTTAAACAACCCAATACTAATGTTTTAACCTAGGAAGAGTTCAGAAATCAATATTTGGTGGAATAACCCTGATTTTCAATCACAGCTTTCATGCGTCTTGGCATGCTCTCCACCAGTCTTTCACATTGATGTTGGGTGACTTTATGCCACTCCTGGTGCAAAAATTCAAGCAGCTCGGCTTTGTTTGATGGCTTGTGACCATCCATCTTCCTCTTGATCACATTCCAGAAGTTTTCAATGGGGTTCAGGTCTGGAGATTGGGCTGGCCATGACAGGGTCTTGATCTGGTGGTCCTCCATCCACACCTTGATTGACCTGGCTGTGTGGCATGGCGCATTGTCCTGCTGGAAAAACCAATCCTCAGAGTTGGGGAACAATGTCAGAGCAAAAGGAAGCACGTTTTCTTCCAGGAGAACCTTGTATATGTCTTGATTCATGCGTCCTTCACAAAGACAAATCTGCCCGATTCCAGCCTTGCTGAAGCACCCCCAGATCATCACTGATCCTCCACCAAATTTCACAGTGGGTGCGAGACGCTGTGGCTTGTAGGCCTCTCCAGGTCTCCGTCTAACCATTAGACGACCAGGTGTTGGGCAAAGCTGAAAATTGGACTCATCAGAGAAGATGACCTTACTCCAGTCCTCTACGGTCCAATCCTTATGGTCTTTTGCAAACCTCAGCCTTGCTCTTCTTTGCTTTCATTGATGAAGGGCTTTTTTCTAGCTTTGCGCGACTTCAGCCCTGCCTCTAGGAGCCTGTTTCGAACCGTCCTCGCCGTGCACTTCACCCCAGCTGCCGTTTGCCATTCTTTTTGTAGGTCACTTGATGTCATCCTACGGTTGTTGAGTGACATTCGAATGAGTTGGCGGTCATCCCGGTCAGTAGAGAGTCGTTTTCGCCCTCTGCCGGTCTGTAGCTTTGTTGTCCCCAATGTCTGCTGCTTGAACTTGTTCTTATGAACTGCCGTCATTGAAATGTTAAGGATGGAAGCAACCTGACGCTCACTGTATCCCTCTGCCAGTAAAGCCAGAATTGACCCCTTCTTTTCCTCAATCAAAACTTTCCTTTTCAACTCTTTTGGCATGGTCAATAGTTATTTTTTGATTAATATTACTTTTGAGGTACTATTAGCACTGTTTTTGCCATCCAGCTGGTCCTATTGCAAGAGGATAGTGATGACCACAGCAGTGGTTTTTATACTTTTCCTCGTTAAATAACATTTGGTTCAGGTGATCACCTAATCAGTACCTAATTCAGTAGAATGAGGTGTGCCTGTGTTGGAATTCAACAGACACTGGAATGGAATGGCTGTCATACATGTAGAGATGCTGATTTAAGAAAAATTTGCAGTGGTCTCTTAATTTTTTCCAGAGCTTGTCACCTTCGTTTTAAGGACGGGTCAAACCAAGGCACAGCGTGAAATGCGTACATGTTTATTTCAATGATAAACACACGACAAAACAACAAACCAAACGAAACGTGAAGTCCAAAGGCTGAACACTAAACAAGCCTCAACACAGAACAAGATCCCACAACTAGCTAGTGCCAATAGGCTGCCTAAGTATGGTCCCCAATCAGAGACAACGAGCTACACCTGCCTCTGATTGGGAACCACCCCGGCCAACATAGATCTACACATACTAGATCTAAAACATAGAATATTCCCACCCTGACTCAACATATAAGTCCCCCAGGGCGTGACAGAGCTGTAGTTCACTGTGTGGTCCTCCCACTACGACTCTGGAAAGCATGCAGTTTATTACGCTACAGAAGAAATAGTTATGATGAACTTCACAGGGTGGTGAAAGTGCACGGTGATGAGCTTGATGCTCCTTTCCAATGAGTATCGATGGTCTTATTCTGGTGACATGATGATCGATGCTTGACTGCCGTTTGACAAATAAAAATAATGTTTATTTTTAATTCACAATCTGTAGAAGCAATGAGAATAGAAAGGTTCAGAACTTTTGTAAAACATCACAGTACGGTTGAAATATATATGGCAAATAGAAATCCTATATGGATGGTGTTAAGAGATAGATGGGAGGTATTGAATAGAGTTGAAGGATGGGACTAATAACAAATAACAACAAATAATAACAAAGATAGCTAATAATGTAAGCATACTGTGTCCATAATAAGTATATAGGTTGTATGTTGGGAGCTTTTGGGAAAGAGCACAGTTAGAAAGATATGGCATTTAGAAGCAAACCGGATGGACATCATGAAAATGATCGGAGAGGTTGAGAGTAGAAGAAGTTCAGGAGCAAAAAAATAAATAAATATATATATATATATATATATATATATATATATATATATATATATAGATATAGAATTATTGTAAAATTAACTCTGTCCATAAGGTGTAGATAGTAAGTATAGACCGGAAGTAGAGGCCTGGGCATTGTTGTTCACTAATTTACTCCAAGTAGGGAAAGGATGGTGGGGTTGAAAAGTAATAAAGGGGAATATATATATAAAAAATAAAAATAAACATGGGGGATTGGAAGTGATGCAGACAATTACATTGATAGAAGATGCAATCTATCTGCAATATTAAGCTGATCCATCCCCCCAAAAAAAAAAAAAAAAAAAAAAAAAAAAAAAAATATCCATAATAATCACATCCTGTAGGTAGCACCTACTGTATAGCTGTTGGCTTTTTTTATTTAACGCAATAGTTTTTCTGACAAAACTATTAGTAGTGTTGAAAATGCGATGGAAACACATTTAACTTTAGATTTTTATTCAGTACATGAAAACTATGTCATCACACACACTGCTTTTTATCCGCAACAAGTCAGTTTGAGAAGGGGGGTTGAGAAGGGGGATGTGATGTGTCTGGGGGGGTTGAGAATGGAGCAGAAGCACATCCTTTTTTTGCTGTAACATCCAGGGAATAGGGTGCTGGTATGGTCAGTATAGGACAGCCCTCTGGGCCTGGTGTCTCACTGGGCCTGGTGTCTCTCTGGGCCTGGTGTCCCTCTGGGCCTGGTGTCTCACTGGGCCTGGTGTCTCACTGGGCCTGGTGTCTCTCTGGGCCTGGTGTCTCTCTGGGCCTAGTGTCTCGCTGGGCCTGGTGTCTCTCTGGGCCTGGTGTCCCTCTGGGCCTGGTGTCTCTCTGGGCCTGGTGTCTCTCTGGGCCTGGTCTCTCTAGGCCTGGTGTCTCTCTGGGCCTGGTGTCTCTCTGGGCCTGGTGTCCCTCTGGGCCTGGTGTCTCTGTGGGCCTGGTGTCTCTCTGGGCCTGGTGTCTCTCTGGGCCTGGTGTCTCTCTGGGCCTGGTGTCTCTCTAGGCCTGGTGTCTCTCTGGGCCTGGTGTCTCTCTAGGCTGGGTGACTGGATGTCATCCAGACATGACCAAAGTACAGGTGACTTTGACAACAGATGATGTAAAAAAGGCTGTATAAAATACATTTGATTGACGTATGGAAAGTTGGATTGTCTTGTTTTATTGTGTATTGTTTTGTATTGCAGACATGGACGACCTGGGGCTGGTTAAGTACAGGATCCTGTCAGGTAATGAGCAGGACTACTTCAACCTGAACCCAGATTCTGGTGCCCTGGCCTTGAGGAGGTCCCTGGCCTCCGCTAAACTCAAGACTGGAGTCTTCAACCTCAAGGTATCCCTATGTACAGCTGAAGTCGGAAGTTTACATACACCTTAGCCAAATACATTTAAACTCAGTTTTTTCACAATTCCTAACATTTAATCCTAGTAAAAATTCCCTGTTTTAGGTCAGTTAGGATCTCCACTTTATTTTAAGAATGTGAAATGTCAGAATAATAGTAGAGAGAATTATTTCTTTCAGCTTTTATTTCTTTAATCACATTCCCAGTGGGTCAGAACTTTACATACACTCAATTAGTATTTGGTAGCATTGCCTTTAAATTGTTTAACTTGGGTCAAACGTTTCGGGTAGCCTTCCACAAGCTTCCCACAATAAGTTGGGTGAATTTTGGCCCATTCCTCCTGACAGAACTGGTGTAACTGAGTCAGGTTTGTAGGCCTCCTTGCTCGCACATGCTTTTTCAGTTCTGCCCACACATTTTCTACAGGATTGAGGTCAGGGCTTTGTGATGGCCACTCCAATACCTTGACTTTGTTGTACTTAAGCCATTTTGCCACACCTTTGGAAGTATGCTTGGGGTCATTGTCCATTTGGAAGACCCATTTGCGACCAAGCTTTAACTTCCTGACTGATGTCTTGAGATGTTGCTTCAATATATCCACATCATTTTTCCATCCTCATGATGCCATCTATTTTGTGAAGTGCACCAGTCCCTCCTGCAGCAAAGCAGCCCCACAGCATGATACTGCCACCCCCGTGCTTCACGGTTGGGATGGTGTTCTTCGGCTTGCAAGCTTCCCCCTTTTTCCTCCAAACATAACGATGGTCATTATGGCCAAACAGTTCTATTTTTGTTTCATCAGACCACATGACATTTCTCCAAAAAGTACGATCTTTGTCCCCATGTGCAGTTGCAAACCGTAGTCAGGCTTTTTTATGGTGGTTTTGGAGCAGTGGCTTCTTCCTTGCTGAGCGGCCTTTCAGGTTATGTCGATATAGGACTCGTTTTACTGTGGATATAGATACTTTTGTACCTGTTTCCTCCAGCATCTTCACAAGGTCCTTTGCTGTTGTTCTGGGATTGATTTGCACTTTTCGCACCAAAGTATGTTCATCTCTAGGAGACAGAACGTGTCTCCTTCCTGAGTGGTATGACGGCTGCGTGGTCCCATGGTGTTTATACTTATGTACTGTTGTTTGTTCAGATGAACGTGGTACCTTCAGGCGTTTGGAAAGGTCTACAATTTATTTCTGAGGTCTTGGCTGATTTCTTTTGATTTTCCCATGATGTCAAGCAAAGAGGCACTGAGTTTGAAGGTAGGCCTTGAAATACATCCACAGGTACACCTCCAATTGACTCAAATTATGTCAATTAGCCTATCAGAAGCTTCTAAAGCCATGACGTCATTTTCTGGAATTTTCCAAGCTGTTTAAAAGCACAGTCAACTTAGTGTATGTAAACTTCTGACCCACTGGAATTGTGATACAGTGAATTATAAGTGAAATAATCTGTCTGTAAACAATTGTTGGAAAAATTGTGTCATTCACAAAGTAGATGTCCTAACCGACTTGCCAAAAATATAGTTTGTTAACAAGAAATTTGTGGAGTGGTTGAAAAACGAGTTTTAATAACTCCAACCTAAGTGTATGTAAACTTCCGACTTCAACTGTAACCCCATGCATCCCCTATGTATATCTATGCATCCCTATACATTCCTTATGCAGACCTACAGTGAGGGAAAAAAGTATTTGATCCCCTGCTGATTTTGTACGTTTGCCCACTGACAAAGAAATTATCAGTCTATAATTTTAATGGTAGGTTTATTTCAACAGGTGAGAGACAGAATAACAACAAAAAAATCCAGAAAAACGCATGTAAAATGTTTTATAAATGGATTTGCATTTTAATGAGGGAAATTAGTATTTGACCCCTCTGCAAAACATGACTTAGTACTTGGTGGCAAAACCCTTGTTGGCAATCACAGAGGTCAGATGTTTCTTGTAATAATAATAATAATAATATGCCATTTAGCAGACGCTTTTATCCAAAGCGACTTACAGTCATGCGTGCATACATTTTTGTGTATGGGTGGTCCCGGGGTTCTTGTAGTTGGCCACCAGGTTTGCACACATCTCAGGAGGGATTTTGTCCCACTCCTCTTTGCAGATCTTCTCCAAGTCATTAAGGTTTCGAGGCTGACGTTTGGCAACTCGAACCTTCAGCTCCCTCCACAGATTTTCTATGGGATTAAGGTCTGGAGACTGGCTAGGCCACTCCAGGACCTTAATGTGCTTCTTCTTGAGCCACTCCTTTGTTGCCTTGGCCGTGTGTTTTGGGTCATTGTCATGCTGGAATACCCATCCACGACCCATTTTCAATGCCCTGGCTGAGGGAAGGAGGTTCTCACCCAAGATTTGACGGTACATGGCCCTGTCCATCGTCCCTTTGATGCAGTGAAGTTGTCCTGTCCCCTTAGCAGAAAAACACCCCCAAATCATAATGTTTCCACCTCCATGTTTGACGGTGGGGATGGTGTTCTTGGGGTCATAGGCAGCATTCCTCCTCCTCCAAACACGGCGAGTTGAGTTGATGCCAAAGAGCTCCATTTTGGTCTCATCTGACCACAACACTTTCACCCAGTTCTCCTCTGAATCATTCAGATGTTCATAGGCAAACTTCAGACGGGCATGTATATGTGCTTTCTTGAGCAGGGGGACCTTGCGGGCGCTGCAGGATTTCAGTCCTTCACAGCGTAGTGTGTTACCAATTGTTTTCTTGGTGACTATGGTCCTAGCTGCCTTGAGATCATTGACAAGATCCTCCCGTGTAGTTCTGGGCTGATTCCTCACCGCTCTCATGATCATTGCAACTCCACAAGGTGAGATCTTGCATGTAGTCCCAGGCCGAGGGAGATTGACAGTTATTTTGTGTTTCTTCCATTTGCGAATAATCGCACCAACTGTTGTCACCTTCTCACCAAGCTGCTTGGCGATGGTCTTGTAGCCCATTCCAGCCTTATGTAGGTCTACAATCTTGTCCCTGACATCCTTGGAGAGCTGTTTGGTCTTGGCCATGGTGGAGAGTTTGGAATCTGATTGATTGATTGCTTCTGTGGACAGGTGTCTTTTATACAGGTAACAAGCTGAGAATAGGAGCACTCCCTTTAAGAGTGTGCTCCAGCCAGAAATCTTTCTGATTGAGAGGGGGTTAAATACTTATTTCCCTCATTAAAATGCAAATCAATTTATAACATTTCTGACATGCGTTTTTCTGGATTTTGTTTGTTGTTATTCTGTCTCTCACTGTTCAAATAAACCTACCATTAAAATTATAGACTGATCATTTCTTTGACAGTGGGCAAACGTACAAAATCAGCAGGGGATCAAATACTTTTCCCCTCACTGTATGTATCCCCGATGTAGTCCTTATGTATCCCCTAGGAAGACATAGGGATACATAGGGACTACATACACAGCAACACATACACCACAACACATACAACCACAAAACAAAAAACAACAAACACATACAACCAACAAAAAACAATACACCACAAACACAATACACCAAAACACATACACAACAACACATACAACCCTACAAAACATACACCACAACATGTACAGTACAACAACATACACCACAAAACAACAGTACAACAACACATACAACCCACAACACATACAGTACAACACATACACCACACACACATACACCACAACACATACACCACAAACACACATACACACACAACACAGACACCACAACACAACACCACAACACATACACCACACACACCATCCAGTACAACACATACACCACAACACATACACCACAACACATACAGTACAACACATACAGTACAACACATACACCACAACACATACACCACAAACACAACACACAACACATACAGTACAACAACATACACCACAACACATACACCACAACACATACACCACAACACATACACCACAACACATCCAGTACAACACATACACCACAACACATACACCACAACACATACAGTACAACACATACAGTACAACACATACACCACAACACATACACCACAACACATACACCACAACACATACAGTACAACACATACAGTACAACACATACACCACAACACATACACCACAACACATACACCACAACACATACACCACAACACATACAGTACAACACATACACCACAACACATACAGTACAACACATACACCACAACACTACAGTACAACACATACACCACAACACATACACCACAACACATACACCACAACACATACAGTACAACACATACAGTACAACACATACACCACAACACATACAGCACAACACATACACCACAACACCTACAGTACAACACATACACCACAACACATACACCACAACACATACACCACAACACATACACCACAACACATACACCACAACACCTACAGTACAACACATACACCACAACACATACACCACAACACATACACCACAACACATACAGTACAACACGTACACCACAACACATACAGTACAACACATACACCACAACACATACACCACAACACATACACCACAACACATACACCACAACACATACACCACAACACATACAACACAACACCTACAGTACAACACATACACCACAACACATACAACACAACACATACAGTACAACACATACACCACAACACATACACCACAACACATACAACACAACACCTACAGTACAACACCTACAGTACAACCCATCCATGCATCAGAGACCCATTTGGTATTTTATTACATTATTAGGATCCCCATTAGCTGCTGCCAAGGAGAAATATAACCTTTTTTAATGTTGTGCAAAGAAAACAATGATCGCTATGTCTCCCTATGTCTCCCTATATATCCCTATGTCTCCCTATGTCTCCCTATGTCACCCTATGTCTCCCTATGTCTCCCTATGTCTCCCTATGTCTCCCTATATATCCCTATGTCTCCCTATGTCTCCCTATATATCCCTATGTCTCCCTATGTCTCCCTATGTCTCCCTATGTCACCCTATTTCTCCCTATGTCTCCCTATATATCCATATGTCTCCCTATATATCCCTATGTCTCCCTATGTCTCCCTATGTCACCCTATGTCTCCCTATATATCCATATGTCTCCCTATATATCCCTATATATCCCTATGTCACCCTATGTCTCCCTATGTCTCCCTATATATCCATATGTCTCCCTATATATCCCTATGTCTCCCTATGTCTCCCTATGTCACCCTATGTCTCCCTATATATTCATATGTCACCCTATGTCACCCTATGTCTCCCTATGTCTCCCTATGTCACCCTATGTCTCCCTATGTCTCCCTATATATCCATATGTCTCCCTATATATCCCTATGTCTCCCTATGTCTCCCTATGTCTCCCTATGTCTCCCTATATATCCATGTCTCCCTATATCTCCCTATGTCTCCCTATGTCTCCCTATGTATCCCTATGTCACCCTATGCCACCCTATGTCACCCTATGTCTCCCTATGTCTCCCTATATGTCTCCCTATATGTCTCCCTATATGTCACCCTATGTCACCCTATATGTCACCCTATATGTCCCTATCTCCCTATGTCTCCCTATGTCTCCATATATATCCCTATGTCTCCCTATGTCTCCCTATATATCCATGTCTCCCTATATCTCCCTATGTCTCCCTATGTCTCCCTATGTATCCCTATGTCACCCTATGCCACCCTATGTCACCCTATGTCTCCCTATATGTCTCCCTATATGTCTCCCTATATGTCTCCCTATATGTCACCCTATGTCACCCTATATGTCACCCTATATGTCCCTATCTCCCTATGTCTCCCTATATATCCCTATGTCTCCCTATGTCTCCCTATGTCTCCCTATGTCTCCCTATGTCTCCCTATATATCCCTATGTCACCCTATGTCTCCATATATATCCCTATGTCTCCCTATGTTTCCCTATATGTCCCTATATATCCCTATGTCTCCCTATATATCCCTATGTCTCCCTATATCTCCCTATATATCCCTATGTCTCCCTATGTCTCCCTATGTCTCCCTATATATCCCTATATGTCCCTATATATCCCTATGTCTCCCTATATATCCCTATGTCTCCCTATGTCTCCCTATGTCTCCCTATGTCTCCCTATGTCTCCCTATATATCCCTATGTCTCCCTATATATCCCTATGTCTCCCTATGTCTCCCTATGTCTCCCTATGTCTCCCTATATGTCCCTATGTCTCCCTATATATCCCTATGTCACCCTATGTGTCCCTATATTTCCCTATGTCACCCTATGTCTCCCTATGTCTCCCTATATATCCTTATGTCTCCCTATATATCCCTATGTCTCCCTATGTCTCCCCATGTCTCCCCATGTCTCCCTATATTTCCCTATGTCTCCCTATATATCCCTATGTCTCCCTATGTCACCCTATGTCTCCCTATGTCTCCCTATATATCCTTATGTCTCCCTATGTCTCCCCATGTCTCTCCTCATGGTAGTGCACTATACATAACAGAGTTCAATTTGGTACGCAGTCATATTATTATTATTATTCCTCTGAAGGTGGAGGCGACGGACGGAGAGCTGTTCTCGGAGCCGACCTACGTCAACGTGTCAGTGGTCCAGGGAAGGATGCCGTCTCATAGTGTCACCTGCAGAGAGACAAGAGTGTCCCAGAGCCTGGCAGAGCTGGGCCTACAGGTGTCATCAATATCATTATCAATATCATATCAAAATCAGTATCTCAGGTGCACTTACTGACAATATGCCTTTAACCCCTAAACTGCTCATTGGGCGCAGCATTTGTAATGGAGGTAAGAACATGCTGGAAGCTTACTCCACAGCTAGTTTGAAAATGTCGCCAACGGAGCTATCCAATTTGATTCTTTTGTATAGCTCAAGCGATTGTTGGTACATTGTCAAGGAGTGCGGTCATGTGTGTTTGCGTGCAGAGGATCACTAGTTTGGACAGTGGAGGAAGCTATAATGTTAGCAACACACTGACGTCAGCCTCACACTGCTGGCCGCCCTCTGTTCCAGCCTCTCTGTGTGTGTTTTTCAGGGTTTGGGATTAAAGCAGATCACACATTTCTTTGGACTGCAAAGAAAATAGATCTGTAAAGTTGTTCTTGTTCTTCCTCCAGAAGGCTACGGCACTGCGGAGACCCAGGGTGGATGAGGGGTACACAGACCTGTTCTCAGCCAACAGACAGACACCTCAGTTTAAGTCGCTCCCCTCTAGTATTGTGGTCAGAGAGGATCTGGCGGCAGGGGCGAGTGTCATTCAGGTGAGGGATGTGAAATTCCATGTTGTGATGTAGTGTTCATGGTAAATTAGTTACACGTATTATTTCTGAGTAGGGTTGGGCGGTATCCAGATTTTACGGTATTACCGGCTTAGTACACAAGGGGGCGGCAAAAAAAAAACCCATTGGGCGTCTATTTCCAGAATGCTAACGAAATTACCACAAGTAATAGCGAAATTCCATGGAGGCTGCTAGCTAAATATGCTAATGAGCGCAAACGAAAATAAACAAATAGCAAAGACAGGCAGTCCATCTCATACAGTTATACATATATAGGTAGGAGCTACCGAATGTAATTTTTTGGGGTGAGTTTGGTGCTTGTCTGAAGGAAGAACAGTACTTTGACTTCTCAAACACGGCATTAAGCCAACACGATATGATGCCCCGTCACCTTATTAATTCAGCCACTTACTTTAGATAACTAGCAAGTTAAATTTAGGGGTCGCGTTAACGCAGAATTCTGCGTTTTTCATGCAGGGAAAAAAAAGATAAAACACAAGAAATACACTATATATACACAAGTAAGTGGACACCCCTTCAAATTAGTGGATTTGGTTCAGCCACACCCGTTGCTGGCAGGTGTATACAATCGAACACACAGCCATGCAATCTCCATAGACAAACATTGGCAGTAGAATGACCTTACTGAAGAGCTCAGTGACTTTCAACGTGGCACCGTCATAGGATGCTACCTTTCCAACAAGTCAGTTCGTCAAATGTCTGCCCTGCTAGAGCTGCCCCGGTCAACTGTAAGTGCTGTTATTGTGAAGTGGAAACGTCTAGGAGCAACAACAGCTCAGCCGCGAAGTGGTCGGCCACACAAGCTCACAGAACGGGACCGCTGAGTGCTGAAGTGCGTAGCGCATAAAAATTGTCTGTCCTCGGTTGCAACACTCACTACCGAGTTCCAAACTGCCTCTGGAAGCAACGTACTGTTCGTCGGGAGCTTCATGAAGTGGGTTTCCATGGCCGAGCAGCCACACACAGGCCTAAGACCACCATGCGCAATGCCAAGCGTCGGCTGGAGTGGTGTAAAGCTCGCCGCCGTTGGACTCTGGAGCAAACGAGGTCCATACAGAAATGGTTTGTAGAGATCGGTGTGGAAGAACTTGACTGGCCTGCGCAGAGACCTGACCTCGACTGCGAGCCAGGCCTAATCGCCCAACATCAGTGCCCGACCTCACTAATGCTCTTGTTATCAGGACTCAGGATATGACCCTGATGCAGACACAGGAGGAGGATAGGACAGTTCTCAATAATAATTTATTAGAACACGGGGCAAAGGGCAGGACGAGGACAGGCAGAGGTACGTAATCAGGTCAGAGTCGGGCAGGTACAGGATGGCAGGCAGGCTCGGGGTCAGGGCAGGCAGAGGTACATAATCAGGTCAGAGTCGGGCAGGTACAGGATGGCAGGCAGGCTCGGGGTCAGGGCAGGCAGAATGGTCAGAACCGAGAAAACTAGGAAGTAAACACTTGAGAAACAGGAAAACGGGAAAGCATGCTGGTAAGACCTGACAAGACAAGATGAAATGGCAACAGACAAACAGAGAACACAGGTATAAATACACAGGGGATAATGGGGAAGATGGGCGACACCTGGAGGGGGGTGGAGACAATCACAAAGACAGGTGAAACAGATCAGGGTGTGACAGTTGTGGTTGAATGGAAGCAAGTCCCCACAGCAGTGTTCCAACATCTAGTGGAAAGCCTTCCCAGAAGAGTGGAGGCTGTTATAGCAGCAAAGGGGGGACCAACTCCATATTAATGCCCATTATCTTGGAATTAGTTTTTCAAAGAGCAGGTGTCCACATACCTTTTGATCATGTAGTGTGTCTTGCAGCATTTTGTAAACGCATATCTAAAATGCTTCTTATTGTAATTTCTGCTCAGCATCAGACAAATGTTTGTGCTTTGGATTTTAGCACATTTACAAGGATTGATTGATTGATTCAACATCCAACCACCATATTTATTATTCCAGGTGAGGGCAACAGACGATGACACGGCCTTCAACGGTCTCATCCTGTACAGCATCTCCAACGGCAACAGAGACAGCTGCTTCGACATCGCCATGGAGATGGGTCTGATCACAGTGTTCCGGCCGCTGGACCGCGAGCGGTCTGACCGCTACGTCCTGAACGTGACCATCTACGACCAGGGTCTGCCTCAGCGGTCCAACTGGAGGCTACTGACCGTCAACGTAGAGGACACCAATGATAACAACCCTATGTTCGCCCAGGACAGGTCTGACAGCATAATTATAAAAATAACCTATTATTGGCAAAATAGCAGAATAAGGCTGCCAGTGTAAACAGCCTTAGTGTCCCATATATCACCCCAGTCCTTAGTGTCCCATATAGCACCCCAGTCCTTAGTGTCCCATATAGCACCCCAGTCCTTAGTGTCCCATATAGCACCCCAGTCCTTAGTGTCCCATATAGCACCCCAGTCCTTAGTGTCCCATATAGCACCTCAGTCCTTAGTGTCCCTCCCATATAGCACCCCAGTCCTTAGTGTCCCATATATCACCCCAGTCCTTAGTGTCCCATATATCACCCCAGTCCTTAGTGTCCCTCCCATATATCACCCCAGTCCTTAGTGTCCCTCCCATATAGCACCCCAGTCCTTAGTGTCCCATATAGCACCCCAGTCCTTAGTGTCCCTCCCATATAGCACCCCAGTCCTTAGTGTCCCTCCCATATAGCACCCCAGTCCTTAGTGTCCCATATAGCACCCCAGTCCTTAGTGTCCCTCCCATATAGCACCCCAGTCCTTAGTGTCCCTCCCATATAGCACCCCAGTCCTTAGTGTCCCTCCCATATAGCACCCCAGACCTTAGTGTCCCTCCCATATAGCACCCCAGACCTTAGTGTCCCTCCCATATAGCACCCCAGTCCTTAGTTTCCCTCCCATATAGCACCCCAGTCCTTAGTGTCCCATATAGCACCCCAGTCCTTAGTGTCCCATATAGCACCCCAGTCCTTAGTGTCCCTCCCATATAGCACCCCAGACCTTAGTGTCCCTCCCATATAGCACCCCAGTCCTTAGTGTCCCTCCCATATAGCACCCCAGTCCTTAGTGTCCCTCCCATATAGCACCCCAGTCCTTAGTGTCCCATATAGCACCCCAGTCCTTAGTGTCCCATATAGTGCCCCAGTCCTTAGTGTCCCTCCCATATAGCACCCCAGTCCTTAGTGTCCCATATAGCACCCCAGACCTTAGTGTCCCTCCCATATAGCACCCCAGTCCTTAGTGTCCCTCCCATATAGCACCCCAGTCCTTAGTGTCCCATATAGCACCCCAGTCCTTAGTGTCCCTCCCATATAGCACCCCAGTCCTTAGTGTCCCATATAGCACCCCAGTCCTTAGTGTCCCATATAGCGCCCCAGTCCTTAGTGTCCCTCCCATATAGCACCCCAGTCCTTAGTGTCCCATATAGCACCCCAGTCCTTAGTGTCCCATATAGCACCCCAGACCTTAGTGTCCCTCCCATATAGCACCCCAGACCTTAGTGTCCCTCCCATATAGCACCCCAGTCCTTAGTGTCCCATATAGCGCCCCAGTCCTTAGTGTCCCTCCCATATAGCGCCCCAGTCCTTAGTGTCCCTCCCATATAGCACCCCAGTCCTTAGTGTCCCTCCCATATAGCACCCCAGACCTTAGTGTCCCTCCCATATAGCGCCCCAGTCCTTAGTGTCCCTCCCATATAGCGCCCCAGTCCTTAGTGTCCCATATAGCGCCCCAGTCCTTAGTGTCCCATATAGCACCCCAGTCCTTAGTGTCCCATATAGCACCCCAGTCCTTAGTGTCCCATATAGCGCCCCAGTCCTTAGTGTCCCTCCCATATAGCACCCCAGTCCTTAGTGTCCCATATAGCACCCCAGTCCTTAGTGTCCCATATAGCACCCCAGTCCTTAGTGTCCCATATAGCACCCCAGACCTTAGTGTCCCTCCCATATAGCACCCCAGTCCTTAGTGTCCCTCCCATATAGCACCCCAGTCCTTAGTGTCCCTCCCATATAGCACCCCAGTCCTTAGTGTCCCATATAGCACCCCAGTCCTTAGTGTCCCATATAGCGCCCCAGTCCTTAGTGTCCCTCCCATATAGCACCCCAGTCCTTAGTGTCCCATATAGCGCCCCAGTCCTTAGTGTCCCTCCCATATAGCACCCCAGTCCTTAGTTTCCCTCCCATATAGCACCCCAGTCCTTAGTGTCCCATATAGTCTCCTGAGTGGCGCAGTGGTCTAAGGCGCCGCATCGCAGTGCTAACTGTGCCACTAGAGATCCTGGTTCGAATCCAGGCTCTGTCGCAGCCGGCCGCGACCGGGAGACTCATGGGCGGCGCACAATTGGCCCAGCGTCGTCCAGGGTAGGGGAGGGAATGGCCGGCAGGGATGTAGCTCAGTTGATAGAGCATGGCGTTTGCAACGCCAGGGTTGTGGGTTCGATTCCCACGGGGGGCCAGTATAAAAAAATTAAAAATGTATTCACTAACTGTAAGTCGCTCTGGATAAGAGCGTCTGCTAAATGACTAAAATGTAAATATAGCACCCCAGTCCTTAGTGTCCCATATAGCACCCCAGTCCTTAGTGTCCCTCCCATATAGCACCCCAGACCTTAGTGTCCCTCCCATATAGCACCCCAGTCCTTAGTTTCCCTCCCATATAGCACCCCAGTCCTTAGTGTCCCTCCCATATAGCACCCCAGTCCTTAGTTTCCCTCCCATATAGCACCCCAGTCCTTAGTTTCCCTCCCATATAGCGCCCCAGTCCTTAGTGTCCCATATAGCGCCCCAGTCCTTAGTGTCCCTCCCATATAGCACCCCAGTCCTTAGTGTCCCATATAGCACCCCAGTCCTTAGTTTCCCTCCCATATAGCACCCCAGTCCTTAGTTTCCCTCCCATATAGCACCCCAGTCCTTAGTTTCCCTCCCATATAGCACCCCAGTCCTTAGTGTCCCTCCCATATAGCGCCCCAGTCCTTAGGGTCCCATATAGCACCCCAGTCCTTAGTGTCCCTCCCATATAGCACCCCAGTCCTTAGTGTCCCTCCCATATAGCACCCCAGTCCATAGTGTCCCATATAGCGCCCCAGTCCTTAGTGTCCCTCCCATATAGCACCCCAGACCTTAGTGTCCCTCCCATATAGCACCCCAGTCCTTAGTGTCCCTCCCATATAGCACCCCAGTCCTTAGTGTCCCTCCCATATAGCACCCCAGTCCTTACATTTGACCAGATCCCTATGGGCCTATTTCCTTCATAGTGCAGTAGTTTTGACCAGATCCCTATGGGCCTATTTCCTCCATAGTGCAGTAGTTTTGACCAGATCCCTATGGGCCTATTTCCTCCATAGTGCAGTAGTTTTGACCAGATCCCCTAAGGCCCACATACTTTGTTGTCACCTTCAGTTTTGTGTGGACCCTGTACAGAAATAGAAACTAAAAATGTAAGCTTGATTTCTGGATGTGATGAAAAGCACTTTACAAATACAATGTCTTCTTCTCCTTCTCCTCCTCCTTCTCCTTCTTCTTCTCCTTCTCCTCCTTCTCCTTCTCCTTCTCCTCCTTCTCCTTCTCCTTCCTCCTCCTTCTCCTCCTCCTTCTTCTCCTTCTCCTTCTCCTCCTCCTTCTCCTTCTCCTCCTTCTCCTCCTCCTTCTCCTTCTTCTCCTCCTTCTCCTCCTTCTCCTCCTCCTTCTTCTCCTTCTCCTTCTCCTCCTCCTTCTCCTTCTCCTTCCTCCTCCTCCTTCTCCTTCTCCTCCTTCTCCTCCTCCTTCTTCTCCTTCTCCTTCTCCTCCTCCTTCTCCTCCTCCTCCTCCTTCTCCTTCTCCTTCTTATTATTATTATGATGTATTTTTATGATCATATCATTATTGTTGTGGTTAGCTACAGCGTGGTGGTCCCTGAGAACACAGCGTTGGGTACTGAGGTGGTGCAGGTAGTTGCTGTAGACAGAGACCTCGGCTCCAACGGAGAGGTCTCCTACTCGCTGCTCACCGCCGTGCCGCAGTTCAGCATCAACAGCAACACAGGGGCAGTGGTCGTAGCGGGACAGCTCGACCGGGAGACCATCCCAGCGTTTAGCCTGAAGGTAAACACCTTAACACACTTTGTGACAACGGATGGTGAATGAATGAATGGATGGATGGATAAACGGATGGATAATTGAATGAATGCATGCATAAATTAATGTATGAGTGAATTAAATAATGCATACTTAAAATACATGCCTTTTTCCATCTGAGCACAACAATACATGCAACTGCTGATGTAAAAATGGTTTCATAAAATAAATATGATTAATTCATTCAGTGACTGACTGACTAATTGTTTGATTGACTGACTGACTGATTGATTGACTGACTGATTGACTGACTGAATGACTAATTGACTGACTGACTGACTGATTGATTGACTGATTAATTGACTGATTTGATTGATTTATGTGATTGAAGGTGGAGGCCAGGGACAAGGCGGAGAGAGGGACCCAGCGGTTCAAGGTGACTACTCTGAGCATAACACTAGAGGACGTTAACGATTGCCCCCCGCTGTTCATCCCTGGGAGCTACAGCGCCCGTGTCCTGGAGGACCTGCCACTAGGGGCAGTCATCGCCTGGCTGCAGACCCAGGATTCAGACCTCGGACTGGGGGGAGAGGTCTCCTACGCTCTGGCCAATGACGGAAACGGCACCTTCGAGGTGGGAGGCTTATCTATGTCTGTGTGTTGTTGAGTTGTTTATGCTGCAGCCCTGAAACGGGAAATACTTAGCAACATCAACATGTACCAATACATCTCTATGTTATTGTATATCTAGGTGGATGCAGTGAGCGGAGCAGTGAGGGTGGGGAAGCAGCTGGACTACGAGAGACAGCAAATCTATAACCTGACTGTGGTGGCTGAGGACAGAGGGACACCTATCCTACGCTCTCTATCTTACCTGGACATAGAGGTACACACACACACACACACACACGCCTTGATTCGGTCTGATGTAGCAAAATTCGATTTTTCTTATTTTTTTTTTACATTGGATAAAAGCAGAGACACGGAGCTAGTGGAGTCTTTTGTTAAGACATGTAGTTAGCTAGCTAGCTAAACAATTAACCATAATCCCAACTCATGACGTTACTACCATGCATGAATCTGCAGGTAGCTAACCAACCAGGTTCAATGTTAGCTAGCTGACAATAGGCTATAACTAGCAAAGCAAATGGCTCTGAGATACGAATAATAAGATCATACACGTAACGTTAGCTAGCAAGCCAGCCAGCTAACGTTAGCTAGCTCTGCGCCGCTCACTGCATCCACCTAGATATACACTTGAAATGAATCCACTTTCTGTCAAAATTAGAAACGTGTCATATCTGAAAATGTAGCTAGCTAGAATATCTTACCCGTATACATGGATGGACGCTTCTCCCTCTCTGTCACGGATGCCATGGTTGCCCTTAGTTTGAAGATGTAATCCGGAGACAGGAGTTTTCTCCATCTCCTTAGCTATCATACTCTAATTCCACTGATTTCAAAACTCGGTCCTCCAGAAAGTGGAGAGCAACACTTATGCAGTTTTACTATGCAATGCATTTAAGAAAAAGACGTGTTAGACAGGATTACCTACACATGCTGACCACCTCAAATAGACAGAAGCGAGCTATATGGCAGACCAATCTGAACTCATCTCTCGGCATGTCCAGCCCACTCATTATCTCAGCCAATCATGGCTAGCGGGAAGGTTGCTGTCTTTTTCTGTGGCTAAACCAACTAGGCTCGTAATTTAACAATTATATTCGTATTTACAGATGGCATACAAGTTTGTTATTAAGGCACATGAAAGTTCACATGTTCCAGAAGGCATTTCTGCCAAAAAATGCATTTTGATTTAAAAAAAAAAAGTTTACGTTCAAATGACTCCCCTGTGAAGTAGTGACCCGCGACATACACCTAGTTTCCTGAAACGAGTCACAAATACAGGCGTAACAGCTGCCCCCCCTCCCCACACACACTAACACCCCCCCCCTCACTCTCTCTCTCTCGCTCTCAAATTCAGATTGCTTTATTGGCATGAAAAACATTGCTTTAATATTGCCAAAGCAATAATGTTGATTGTCGCATCTCAGCTTTCTCACCTCCTCCTGCAGTGCTGTTAGCTGGACTGTGTGTTCCCTCTGTTAGCTGGACTGTGTGTCCCTCTGTTAGCTGGACTGTGTGTCCCTCTGTTAGCTGGACTGTGTTCCCTCTGTTAGCTGGACTGTGTGTTCCCTCTGTTAGCTGGACTGTGTGTTCCTCTGTTAGCTGGACTGTGTGTTCCCTCTGTTAGCTGGACTGTGTGTTCCCTCTGTTAGCTGGACTGTGTTCCCTCTGTTAGCTGGACTGTGTGTTCCATCTGTTAGCTGGACTGTGTGTTCCCTCTGTTAGCTGGACTGTGTGTTCCTCTGTTAGCTGGACTGTGTTCCCTCTGTTAGCTGGACTGTGTTCCCTCTGTTAGCTGGACTGTGTGTTCCTCTGTTAGCTGGACTGTGTGTTCCTCTGTTAGCTGGACTGTGTGTTCCTCTGTTAGCTGGACTGTGTGTTCCCTCTGTTAGCTGGACTGTGTGTCCCTCTGTTAGCTGGACTGTGTGTCCCTCTGTTAGCTGGACTGTGTGTTCCCTCTGTTAGCTGGACTGTGTGTTCCCTCTGTTAGCTGGACTGTGTGTTCCCTCTGTTAGCTGGACTGTGTGTCCCTCTCTTAGCTGGACTGTGTATTCCCTCTGTTAGCTGGACTGTGTGTCCCTCTGTTAGCTGGACTGTGTGTTCCCTCTGTTAGCTGGACTGTGTGTTCCCTGTTAGCTGGACTGTGTGTTCCCTCTGTTAGCTGGACTGTGTGTTCCCTCTGTTAGCTGGACTGTGTATTCCTCTGTTAGCTGGACTGTGTGTTCCTCTCTTAGCTGGACTGTGTGTTCCCTCTGTTAGCTGGACTGTGTGTTCCTCTGTTAGCTGGACTGTGTGTCCCTCTGTTAGCTGGACTGTGTGTTCCTCTGTTAGCTGGACTGTGTGTCCCTCTGTTAGCTGGACTGTGTTCCTCTGTTAGCTGGACTGTGTTCCTCTGTTAGCTGGACTGTGTGTTCCCCTGTTAGCTGGACTGTGTGTCCCTCTGTTAGCTGGACTGTGTGTTCCTCTCTTAGCTGGACTGTGTGTTCCTCTGTTAGCTGGACTGTGTGTCCCTCTGTTAGCTGGACTGTGTGTCCCTCTGTTAGCTGGACTGTGTGTCCCTCTGTTAGCTGGACTGTGTGTTCCCTCTGTTAGCTGGGTGGTCCTCTGTAGCTCAGCTGGTAGAGCACGGCGCTTGTAACGCCAAGGTAGTGGGTTCGATCCCCGGGACCACCCATACGCAAAAATATATGCACGCATGACTGTAAGTCGCTTTGGATAAAAGCGTCTGCTAAATGGCATATTATTTATTTATATTACTGTGTGTTCCTCTCTCTCCTCCTTCAGTTCTCTCACCTCAGACCGGAGTGCAGCCAGCTCTATCAGACAGCCGTCCATCTCCACCTTCAGCCCTCTGGGTACTGTAGGGGGGGTGGTGTTGTGCTGGTCTGTTTCAGCCCTCTGGGTACTGTAGGGGGGGGGGGGGGGGGGCTGGTCTGTTTCAGCCCTCTGGGTACTGTAGGGGGGGTGGTGTTGTGCTGGTCTGTTTCAGCCCTCTGGGTACTGTAGGGGGGGGTGGTGTGCTGGTCTGTTTCAGCCCTCTGCGTACTGTAGGGGGGGTGGTGTTGTGCTGGTCTGTTTCAGCCCTCTGGGTACTGTAGGGGGGGGTGGTGTTGTGCTGGTCTGTTTTCAGCCCTCTGGGTACTGTAGGGGGGGGGTGGTGTGGTGCTGGTCTGTTTCAGCTCTCTGGGTACTGTAGGGGGGGGTGCTGGTCTGTTTTCAGCCCTCTGGGTACTGTAGGGGGGGTGGTGTTGTGCTGGTCTGTTTCAGCCCTCTGGGTACTGTAGTGGGGGGTGGTGTTGTGCTGGTCTGTTTCAGCCCTCTGGGTACTGTTGGGGGGGTGGTGTTGTGCTGGTCTGTTTCAGCCCTCTGGGTACTGTAGGGGGGGGTGGTGTTTGTGCTGGTCTGTTTCAGCCCTCTGGGTACTGTTGGGGGGTGCTGGTCTGTTCAGCTCTCTGGGTACTGTAGGGGGGAGGGGGGGGGGGGGGTGCTGGTCTGTTTCAGCTCTCTGGGTACTGTAGGGGGGAGGGGGGGGGGGGGGGGTGCTGGTCTTGTTTTCAGCCCTCGGGTACTGTAGGGGGGGTGGTGTTGTGCTGGTCTGTTTCAGCCCTCTGGGTACTGTTGGGGGGGTGGTGTTGTGCTGGTCTGTTTCAGCCCTCTGGGTACTGTAGGGGGGGGTGGTGTTGTGCTGGTCAGTTTCAGCCCTCTGGGTACTGTAGGGGGGGGTGGTGTTGTGCTGGTCTGTTTCAGCCCTCTGGGTACTGTAGGGGGGGTGGTGTTGTGCTGGTCAGTTTCAGCTCTCTGGGTACTGTAGGGGGGGGGTGGTGTTGTGCTGGTCTGTTTCAGCCCTCTGGGTACTGTAGGGGGGGGTGGTGTTGTGCTGGTCTGTTTCAGCCCTCTGGGGTACTGTAGGGGGGGGGGGGGGGGGGGGGGCTGGTCTGTTTCAGCCCTCTGGATACTGTAGGGGGGGGTCTGTTTCAGCCCTCTGGGTTACTGTAGGGGGGGGTGGTGTTGTGCTGGTCTGTTTCAGCTCTCTGGGTACTGTAGGGGGGATGGTGTTGTGCTGGTCTGTTTCAGCCCTCTGGGTACTGTAGGGGGGTGGTGTTGTGCTGGTCTGTTTCAGCCCTCTGGGTACTGTAGGGGGGGTGGTGTTGTGCTGGTCTGTTTCAGCCCTCTGGGTACTGTAGGGGGGGGTGGTGTTGTGCTGGTCTGTTTCAGCCCTCTGGGTACTGTAGGGGGGGGGTGGTGTTGTGCTGGTCTGTTTCAGCTCTCTGGGTACTGTAGGGGGGATGGTGTTGTGCTGGTCTGTTTCAGCCCTCTGGGTACTGTAGGGGGGGGGGGGGGGTTGTGCTGGTCTGTTTTCAGCTCTCTGGGTACTGTAGGGGGGGGGGGGGGGGGGGGTGGTGTTGTGCTGGTCTGTTCTGTGGGTCTGTTCTGTCTGGAGTGTGTGGACCAGCTCTCTGAGCTCCACCATGTCTCTCTCCAGCTCTGTGAATTCATCCCTCTCAATGATGGAGGAGCAGTGCAGCTGTGGGACCTGGGTGTGTTCAGCGCTGGGGGGGGGGGGGGGGGGGGGGTGACTATCCTCGTCTGCAGGACAGTTTGAAGAGGTGTGATCGGACTCGCTCGGGGTGGGGGTGTCATCACCAAGAGAAAGCTTCTCCTGCCGTGCTCTCTCTTTGATTCTGTAAAAGTGATGTTGTAAGTGTATGAAGTTGCCCTGCAGCACCACTGTTCCATTCTGGTCCAGGTAGACAGAGGGTGTCTCCGTCTCAGGGTCCTTGTTTTCCAGTGTTCTGATGTTCCACCCTCCTCCAATACCCTCTCTCTTAAAAGAGGGATAGTGTGTACTTATAGCTGTGTGCCATGCCCAGGGATGGTCTGTGTGGAAGATTAGGTTGCTTACGTTCCGTTTTTTGTAGCAGTCAGCAAAAAGTGTCTCTGGATTTTTAATATCCAAGGGGTACCGCACTGTGGTGGACTCTGCACAGAGGGAAGCCATGGAACAGGGGGCCAAAGAGGCCTCTGCATTTGGGTGGAGAAGGAACTCTGCTGCCATTGTTGGGCTCAGGGGCTTCACACCTCTCACTTCACACTTCAGTGCTAATTAATGTTGCAGCCGGGTCTGTACTTTCCTAGCAAGCTTGGTAGCCTTTTAACTTAGCATTCAGTCTTTCTAAAGTCAAATATCTAGATATTATTGTAATGTTATTTTCCTTGTAGGCTTTCGAAGTAGCTTCAGACTGAACATTACTTACTCAGTTCGAAGTTGGATGATATTTCTGTTGTGCTTCTTTTGCTGGTTGTTGGTTTGTCAGAAAGTTTGCTGGATAATCCTTGGCAGTAAGAATCCTTGGCAGTAAGAATCCTTGGTAGTAAGAATCCTTGGTAGTAAGAATCATTGGCAGTAAGAATCCTTGGCAGTAAGAATCCTTGGCAGTAAAACTCCTTGGTAGTAAGAATCCTTGGCAGTAAAAATCATTGGCATTTTTCCTATTATGTTGCCTTACAACCTGGAATTAAAATTGATTTTTTGGGGGGGTTTGTATCATTTGATTTACACAACATGCCTACTACTTTGAAAATGCAAAATATGTTTTATTGTGAAACAAACAAGAAACAAACAAGAAATTAGACAAAAAAAACAGAACTTGAGCGTGCATAACTATTCACCCCCCCCCCCCCCCCCCCCCCCCCCCCAAAGTCAATACTTTATAGAGCCACCTTTTGCAGCAATTACAGCTGCAAGTCTCTTGGGGTATGTCTCTATAAGCTTGGCACATCTAGCCACTGGGATTTTTGCCCATTCTTCAAAGCAAAACTGCTCCAGCTCCTTCAAGTTGGATGTGTTCCGCTGGTGTACAGCAATCTTTAAGTCATACCACAGATTCTCAATTGGATTGAGGTCTGGGCTTTGACTAGGCCATTCCAAGACATTTAAACCACTCGAGTGTTGCTTTAGCAGTATGCTTAGGGTCATTGTCCTGCTGGAAGGTGAAACTCCGTCCCAGTCTCAAATCTCTGGAAGACTGAAACAGGTTTCCCTCAAGAATGTCCCTGTATTTAGCGCCATCCATCATTCCTTCAATTCTGACTAGTTTCCCAGTCCCTGCCAATGGAAAAACATCCCCACAGCATGATGCTGCCACCACCATGCTAAATTTTAGTCTCATCTGACCAGAGTACCATCTTCCATATGTTTGGGGAGTCTCCCACATGCCTTCTTTTTTTTCTTTAAGCAATGGCTTTTTTCCGGCCATTCTTCCGTAAAGCCCAGCTCTGTGGAGTGTACAGCTTAAAGTGGTCCTATGGACAGATACTTCAATCTCCGCTGTGGAGCTTTGCAGATTCTTCAGGGTTATCTTTGGTCTCTTAGTTGCCTCTGATTAATGCCCTCCTTGCCTGGTCCGGGAGTTTTGGTGGGCGGCCCTCTCTTGGCAGGTTTGTTGTGGTGCCATATTCTTTCAATTTTTTAATAATGGATTTAATGGTGCTCCGTGGGATGTTCAAAGTTTCTGATATTTTATTTATAACCCAACCCTGATCTGTACTTTTCCACAACTTTGTCCCTGACCTGTTTGGAGAGCTCCTTGGTCTTCATGATGCCGCTTGCTTGGTGGTGCCCCTTGCTTAATGGTGTTGCAGACTCTGGGGCCTTTCAGAACAGGTGTATATATACTGAGATCATGTGACAGATCATGTGACACTTAGATTGCACACAGGTGGACTTTAACTAATTATGTGACTTCTGAAGGTAATTGGTTGCACCAGATCTTATTTAGGGGCTTCATAGCAAAGGGGGTGAATACATATGCACGCAACACTTTTCTGTTATAATTTTTTTTTAGAATTGTTTGAAACAAGTTATTTACATGAAATCCAATTAAAAATCCATTTAAATTACAGGTTGTAATGCAACAAAATAGGAAAAAACACCAAGGGGGATGAATACTTTTGCAAGGCACTGTAATGTATACAGGTACAACACTACTGCTGTTGGATTGTGGAATCTTCAGTCAATACAGTTAATTAAAGAAATAAAAGATTATAAAAAGAAAAATAAAGAATGTAAAATAAAGAAATAAATAAACAACAACATGTACATGATGATGGTTCCACTATGTATTACTTACTGTCAGTTATATACAATGTCAATACTTCAGGGAATGAATGGTCATGGGATGTCCCTCCAGGCTATGTCAATCGTATACATATCTGGCAGTAATATTTGCGGTTTCTCCCTCAGCCAGAATAATTCCCAGCTTTATGTTATTAGTAAATGCGCAGAAGTTGTGAATTGATTGAGATATTTTCTTTAAAAATATTATCTTATTTGGGAGTATTTCTCACGGTAGAGTAAACGGTGCATCTCTGTCTCTACCTCCCCTGTCGTTCAGTGACCACATAGACGCTCCTCTTTTCTACAGCCAGTTGGTGGTCGCTGAGCCTGTATTTGGTCAGGATCTGTCTCTGTTTTGTATCTCTGACAGAGTAGAGA